TTTTTTGCAGCTTTTTTGGGTAATCTATATAGGGAATTAAATTATACAAATTGCGAAAAAAACAACAAAAAAATAAATAAATTACACAAATTGCAAAAACTTTTCCAATAAATTGGTTTTTTATTAATAACACATAAGCTTCATTAAATTCAGGCTTCTGTCTACTACTTTTTGTTAAGCAAATGCTTTTTTACCCTACAAATCATTGCTGGACTTATAATTTGAAGATGTAGTGTCAATCTAAATAACAATCGGAGATTCTCCGAAGAATAACTATATTTATTTAGGAACACCAGAGTACTGCAATGGGAAAACCTGTGTGTGTTAATCATTGTTTTGTCACTGTGACAAAATATCTGAGAAAAACAACTTAAAGGAGGAAAGATTTAATTTGGCTCACAGTTTCAGCAGTTTCAGTGTATTGTCAGTTGGCTCCATTGCTTCTGGGCCTGTGGTGAGACAGAACATATGGCAGAAGGGTACAATAGAGGAATGCTGCTCACCTTGTGGCAGCTAAAGAGAAAGAGATGAGAAAGAGATGGGGGCCAGAGTTCCAATATAAACTCACAGCTCCTTTGATCCATTTTCTCCAAATAGTTCTCACCACCCCTGAACATTTCACCACCTCCCAGTAGTGCCACCAACTGCAGACCAAGCCTTTCTCTAGTCTACTTCTCCAATCTTTGCCAAACTCTTCCTATAAACAATTCCAAATACAGATGGACCACATGGTCAGGTATAGTCACAGTGATGACCTACCCTCAGTACCACGTTTCCATGTTAGTCAGTGTTCAATCATTGAGACAAAATATATGAAAAAAAATCACTGAAAGAGGAAATGGTTTAATTTTTCTCAGTTTCAGAGGATTCTGTCCACTAGCCAGCTACATTGCTTTTAGGCCTAAGGTGAGGCAGAGACATTGTGGTGGGAGGGTATGGTAGAGGAAAGTTGATCATGCATGGCAGCCAGGAGGCAAAGGGAGAGAAAAAGCCAGAGAGAAAGGGGCTGAGGACAAGATAGAGTCTCCAAGTTAAGCCCCCCTGACCCACTCTGCTTAGGCACCACTTCCTGAGTTCCATCACCTCCCAACGAAAGCATCAAAATAAGAGCTCATTGATAAATTCATTCACTAACGAAGTCATTGTCCTCATGATCCAAAAGCCTCACCTTTGAACACATGAGATATTTGGAAGATGTTTTAGATCCAAAGCATAACAGAGGCTGTCTGTAATTTTGGCAGAACCTGGAAATTGAGCGTGGGGGAATTCTACCTTAGACCCTTAGGCCTTGCTTACGTGAGCTTGGGAGGGGAATGTGGCTTCTCCCGACCGCACCACACTGCTGATGAGGCAGGTATCGCAGTTTCCACAACCATGACGTGAATCTACATACCCGCCAGCCCTGAGTTTACCACCAGATCACCACTGAACTTTGCTATCACATTCAACACTGTCATCCAGGACTTGGGGTTTACTCTGAACTTTGTCAGAACCTGGGTAAAGTATGAAGTAAGGCCCCAGTAGATATTTGTAAGAGGTGAAATTACTGCCAAAAAGGATTGGATTCAAGGCTCATGAAAGAAGAACTGAGGAACATATGGCCATTTGCAATTGCATCTGAAGTATAACAATGAAATGGATGTTACCTGTACATGGACCATTCCTATGTCCCTCCCTCATGTTCTCATAAAGATTTTCACATCCTTCCAGGAGGGGAGAGGTACTCAAAGGAAATGCTCTGATTCCTCTTTACCCTTTCCTTGCTGCTCTTCCTTGGAGGAGGATAAACTTCCATGATTGGCAGGTTGGAAAGAGTTTGTCACTTGTCATCTGTTAGACCATGTTAACTAGAGGCATGGGTTCCAACTCTCTTTTGCCCTCTTAGTTACCTAGCATCTCCTATAATAGTATCTGTGCCTGTAGACCCCGGTAGTATAAATTGACCAAGTGGGTATGTTTTTTTCAGGTCCAGTTAGGTCCTTCTCCTTGATATGCAGTCAAGACACCACATTCTGTTTTGGGAAGTGGTCCTGGGGCAGGAGTGGGAAGAAGGGAGGAGAAGGGGAAATAAAAAGGATCAGATGTGACAGGTATATGTACCAGTTCTCTACAATGAATGTACTTATTATATATTGCAAACATATTCTAACAAGAAAGGGGAAAAATAAAAAGGATTAAGCAGTCTGAGTTTTAAAAAACCTTTCAAGTGCTTTCCAAATAGTCTCCATTTTAAATGACATATTCTGTTGTTTTGTTGAGAACCCTTCTTTACTCTCTGAATTCTGGATTATTATCTTACGTTGGTTTCCCCAGGGTTGTCCCCAAAGTCCTCTAGAGCAGTCTATGTGTTCTTCTTAGATTCCCTAGTTTTATCTTTATGTTTCTCTGCACATATGCTGTGAGTAGAAGCAGCAGGCTCTCCGGGGCATCTTGGTGGTTGTTTTCAATGTGTTCTTTGACTTACTTTCATAAATTCTATCTTAACACATCCTTTTTGGACAAATATTTTCCCAGTATGTCACAAGGAATGGTGACGACTCCTGCTTGCCTTTAAGGTAAAGTGCCTCCCTTGAGGCAGAGACAAGCTGGGCATAGTGGTGCTCCCTTGGACAACCTCATGAATTAGAATACATATGTCTCAAAAGAAAAAAGAAAAACCACACCCAAGGCTGCGGAGTTAGTTCAGTGTGAAGGCCCTGGGGGAATCCCCAGTCCCCAGTACCACAAAAAAGAAAAAAAAAAGTCCCCATATCTGAGCCCATGTAAAAAGAGCAAAGCCTGGAGGGTTAGAAGGAAACATGAAGGCACAGGTCTCCGGAGCAGCAGCTGTTTTAAGGTACGGGCTAAGAGCACCTTGGGGAAGAAGGTTCAGGCGTGCAGGGTCACCTCCTCATCCTTAGCAAAAGACCAAGACAAGGCTGATGTCTCAGAGCAGAATTTTAAATCTTTGCATGTCCCAAGAGCCCACAGACTCTACATGTGTCCTAGCGGCTGCCCTGGGATTTAAGCAAGAGCACTAAGCCATGCCATTTTCTCTGGGGACGGAGGAGATTCCAGGCTCCTATACGAGTGAAAAATATGGTAAGAACAGATCCCTCACTGTGCATCTGAGGAGAATGAGTCTTCACAGATAGAATGTATTTCCTATTACTCTTGTCTGCTTTGATGCTTTTGAACTAAGTTTAACTACTTTTTTTTTTTTGCCGCTGGGGAGGAAACCCAGGGCCTTGCACATGCTGAGCAAATGCTCTTTCACTGAGCTTCACCCCCAGGTCCTACGATATTTTACATAACTGAATTCTGAGTTACATCTTTTATTAGGTTTATTTCTTATAAACCTGATTATTTTCTTTTTTTGCTTGTTTGTTTGCACCAGGGATCAAACTCAGGACCTTGCGCGTGTGAGGCAGGTGGCAGAACAACTGAGCTAAATCCCCGGCCCTATTTTCATTTTTAATATAATTAGGCTCACTTTATCAATTAGCTATTTCTGGTGTTTAGGAAAGCAGCAAAAAGAAGGAACTAAACATTAATACCATGTAGCCAGGGATTTAGCAATCCCCGGCCTATGTAAAAGTATAGGGAGAGGCCTGGGGATTTAGCTCAGTGGTTCCGCCACCTGCCTTGCAAGCGGAAGAACCTGAGTTCGATCCCCGGTACAAAAAAAAAAAAGAAGAAGAATGAGAAACTAAAAGTATAGGGAGATACTCCAGAATAACACATACCAAAGTGGTTTCAGTATTTGGCTCTGGAGTCAGAGAACACATTGAGTAGTAAAAAGGAACCTCAGCTTCCCAGAGGTAAAAGAAAAAGAAGGAAGATGGAGAGATTTTTATGGAGTTTTCTCATTTTATGTAAGAAAGAAGAGGGGGGAGAGGAAAGGGAGGGAAGGTTAGGCTCCCCCTCTGTGACCTCATTTAACCTTAATTACTCCTTTATGGCTCTGTCTTCAGTCACGTTGGGAATGAGGGCTTCAACATAGGAATTTGGGAGGCAACACAATTCAATCTACAACTTCTCCTAGAGTTTTAAAATAAAAACATGAAGGAAGTAATTTCTCTTCTGTGCCTCTTTGACCAGGTCCCTCTGCCTTGATGGATTATACCCTCAAGCCCAATGCAACAGCAATGACTGATTACTACTATCCTGATCTCTTCCCAAGCCCCTGTGATGGGGGACTCAACATCAGGAACAGCAAGTTGCTTCTTGTCATTATTTACTGCCTCCTGTTCATCTTTGGTCTTTTGGGAAATGGCCTAGTCATCTTGATCCTCGTGTCCTGCAAGAAGCTGAGGAGCATCACAGACATATACCTGTTGAACCTGGCCTTGTCTGACCTGCTTTTTGTCTTCTCTTTGCCCTTTCAAGCCTGCTACCATCTGGACCAGTGGCTGTTTGGGACTGTGATGTGCAAAGTGGTCTCTGGCCTTTATTACATTGGCTTCTTCAGCAGCATGTTCTTCATCACCCTCATGAGCTTGGACAGGTACCTGGCTATTGTCCATGCTGTGTATGCCATGAAAGTGAGGACAGCCAGGATGGGCACAGGCCTGAGCCTGGCAGTGTGGCTGGCCACTTTTCTGGCCACCAGCCCATTGTTAGTCTTTTACCAAGTAGCCTCTGAAGATGGCATTCTAAAGTGTTATTCATTTTACAATCAGCAGGCTTTGGAGTGGAAGATCTTCATCCACTTTGAAATTAACACTGTAGGACTGCTGATCCCATTCACCATCTTTATGTTCTGCTACATCAGCATCCTGCGCCAGCTGAGGAGATGCCAGAACCGCAAGAAGATCAGAGCCATCATGTTGGTGCTCATCGTGGTAGTGGCAACTTTGGTCTTCTGGGTCCCATTCAACTTGGTCCTGTTCCTCACGTCCCTGCACAATTTGCACATATTGGACGGGTGCAGCATAAGCCAGTGGCTGAGCTATGCCACCCATGTCACAGAGACCATTTCCTTCACTCACTGTTGCATGAACCCTGTTATCTACGCTTTTGTGGGTGAAAAGTTCAAGAAACACCTCTCAGAAATATTTCAGAAATGTTACAGCCACTTCTTCGTCTACATAGGAAGACAGATTCCCAAGGAGGACTGGGGAAAGTCCTCCTCCTCCCACCGTTGTTCCTCCCATTCCTCCAGCATAGACTACATCTTGTGAGGGAGGTGTTTTTCACAATGCTTCTTTAAAGACAAAACATTAGTTGGTTGGACTCTGTGGCTAGAAGGGGAACTCTCTGAACTTTGATTACAGACACAAGACATATTTTATGATACTTACTGAATTCCTACTATTGCAAATTAATCTCAACTTTCAAAAAGATTGTTACTATTGTGGAATATATACTATTGCGGAATATATTGTGGAATATATAAAATATATTCCACAATTAAATATAATGCTAGCAGTAGGGTATTTTAAAAACATAATCTTAGCAGATTAAAGAAGTTACCTTCTATACTTTGTTTTCCATGTGTCTTTATCATATATGAATTTAAATTTTATCAAATTCTTTTTTTTAACCTATGGAAATAATAATAACATTTTTCCTCTATTATTCTATTAATTTGGTGAACTACACAGATTGACTTTCTTTTTTTTTTTGTAAAACTGGGGCATTTTAATGTTCTTACTATTTAATAAATAATTCTCTTGATGACTGCAGTTACAAAAGCTGTGGTAGTATTCACAGTAATGGTGGTTTTCCTGATTGGTCTGCAGTCTTCAATAAGTGTAAGAAGTTATTGTATGAAACATCTTTCAAACCAGTAAGACTGCACTGATGCATCCATCATTTTCAGGATTGTTGGTTACCTGGGCATATTTACCCCAAATAACCTTGCCTCCTTGTGTCACAAGGCCCAGCTCACTCACGTTCGCTTCAATCACTGTACCTTTGGTAATGTGGGACTACATAACCCTGTAATCATAAAACTCCCCTAGCCCCAACTGTGCTTGAATGTGAGCTAATGGATAAAGATGCTTGTTAGTTCCGGGACACTAGATAAGATCTGTATCAGCCATAAGGTCCCACAGTAAATTACTCAACTCTTTGTTTGTTTGAAACTGATGTTCTGGACACCGCTATCTATAGAACAATCTGTAAATGTCTGCTGACCATCAGTATGTGTCAGTTGGCCATTAACCTTTGTTCCTCTTCTGTAAGTTTCGCCTGTTAACTCCCCCTGCCACCCCTATAAACAAGCCTCGGACTCTGGGCTAGCTGCCTCTCTAAGCTACTTTGCTTTAGGAGTACAGTCTGGCCAGACTAATAAAGGTCTGTTTTACTTTCCAACTTGTCCGGTGTGTTCCTTCCCGGGTATTCTTCGCTGCAGTCAGCTCCTCGGAGCATTTGGTGAGGCCCTCGGTCTTACAGTAATAACACCCAAAGTTGTATATAGTGGTGATGAAGGATTTTTTTTCACACCAAGTATTGGCAGGCAAAAGGTGGCTTTCAGTTCAGGATGTGTTACATGGGCCTTCTTGAAATGTAAGCCCATTGGCCTAATGAACCTTCCGTAATTTGGTGGTTTTCTTGTAAAGCCATCTTCAACACAGACTTTAGTAACCATCCTCTTCCATGCCTTCTTTTTTCTCTTTCCAGTTCGAATAACTTTCAATACTTCTGTCTCTCCCTGTGCACGAACTTTGGGCAGAGGGACTTCCCATTTTTCTGCCTTTTTTTTTCTTTTTTGTTTAATCATGTTGGAAAGTACTTTTGCCCGGGACTGTCCCTCTCTGTCTAGCAGATAGGCAGGTACTGCTCCCAGAGGAGTCTTTTCATCATTCTTTTGCTTGGTGCTTCTCTTTTCATGCATCTTGATAGTCTTATTCATTTGTATTTTCTCAGCATGGAGCTGCTTATGGTAGAGCTTAGCCTTCAGGCAATCATTTTTTTTTGCCTTCTTTGAACGTTCCTGAGCCTCTCGACTTTCCTTCTTTCTCTTTTTCTCATGGTAATCCAAACGTTTACGGTGTAATTCAATATATTCATTTTGTGGCATGGTGACAGCTGCAGAGCAGCTGGGGGCGGCCTCAGGCATGGGAAGAAAAGTTTCAATTTTGAGGTCTCTCCAACACACGACCTGACTCCGCGCAGCCAGAAGCAGGAAAGTGACTTTCTTTTCTTACATCAACCTACATTGTTCCTAAAAAAAAAAATGACCTCTTGGTCTTGGGATTTAGAGATATTGTCCTGTAATTTTCCTTTTTTATAATGGTAGGGATTGGTCTCCTAAAAATGTTTAGGAAGTATTCTATTTTTCTCTATTCTCCATGTTTGTGTAAAATATTTGGCATTATTTCCTTTTTGGGATGTTTGGTAGAATTCATTACTGAAGCCAGCGGGGGCTTCTCTGCAGGAAGATTTCAAATTATGCATTAAATTTGACAGACTCATCCAATGTTCTATTTTTTGTTAATCTCAATTTTGAGCATGGAGTCATTCACAGTATCTTCTTACTCTTTTTAATGTATGAGGCTCCCATCTCGAGATTGACAGTTTGAGTTTTCTCTTGATCTTACTGGGCTTATCAGTTTCACTAATCTCTTCTAAGAAGCAGCTTTGACCATGTTGATTTCCTGCTCTTATCTATTTGCTCCTTTGTTATACTCTTCATTCTACCTGCTTTCTTTGGACTTAATTAACAAGCTTAGTTTTATACTAACTTCTTTCTCCCCATTTTTATTAGTATGTATTCATTATACATAGTAAAGACATTAATCGTGGGGAGTTGGTCTGTACACATATGCCACCTTGACCCTTTTTATATCTCTTTCGCCTTCTCTCCCTCTCATCTTCCCCCCATCCCCAGGCGCCCTTCTAGCTGCACAAATTCTATTTCCTCTTTTCCTATCATCTACTTTTTATACTAACTTCTTAAAGGGGAATCTTTGTTTATGGATTGCCAACCTTTGTTCACTTAAGAACTATATATTTAAAGCTACAAAAGTTCTCCTAAGCTCTACTTTAGATGCATTTTTTCCTTTTTTTTTTTTTTTTTGTCAGTACTATGGATTGAACCAAGGGCCTTTGCACTGAGCTAAACCCTCACTCCTTTTTTAAAAATCTTATTTTCAAACAGGATCACTAAATCACTAAATTATTGAACTTTTGATCCTCCTGCCTCAGCCTTCCAGAGTGCTGGGATTATAGGTGTGTGTTACTATATCTGGCTTTATACATTTTTAACATAATACATTTTCTTTATTTTTTATTTTAAGATTTTTCTATTTCCATTGTGTTTTCTGCTTTGAATCTTGAGCTATTTAGGAATTAAATTTAAAATTTTGAAACCTGTGGGTCTTACTCTTCTTAGAGAATATGGATATGTGGTTTCAGTTATTTGAAATTTATTAAGAATTATTTTATAATGCAGGATATTGTTTCTTTACTAAGTGCTCCATGTACACCTGAAAAGTATGTGTGTGTTCTGCAGTTGTTGGCCATAGCTGATTCAAGAAAATGTTCCAGACTTCTATATTTTTGGTTACTTTTACTTTTTGTTTATTCTGCAAATTATTAAGGGTACATTAAAAGCTCTCACTGTAATCATGGCTTGTCAATTTTTCATTGTACTTGTTTATTTTGCTCACTGTATATTTTGAAACTATTAGGTGCATGAAAATATAGATTATGCTTTTAATTGAATGTTATTTTGCATTATAAAATGCTTCCCTTTTTTCAGCAATATTTCCTGTCTTAAAAATCTACTAAACTTGGGACAGGGATTTAGCTCAGTGCTGCTGCCTGCCTCGAAAGTACAGGGTCCTGAGTCCAATGCCCGGTAACAAAAAAAAAGAAAGAAAGAAAGAAAGAAAATCTACTAAACTTAGCATAGATATGCCAGCTTTGTTTGGATTAGTGTATGCATTGTTTACTTTAGACCAAACCATTTTTTTATAGTTAATATGTCTCTTTTGTAAGCATGATTTAGTTTGGGCTTTTTTTTTTCCACAAAGAAAGAGAGCTGCATTACCATGCATATTATGGTTTCTATCTAGATGTCCCCCAGGGACTGCCTGTCCTCAGAGTGGGACTTTTAGAAGGTGACAAGATTATGGGGAGCTCTAGCTGACTGTTAGGCAGTGGGGTCTGGCCAGAAGAGGCGGGTCACTAGGTGACCTGTCAGGGTGTATCACCTGGCTCCTTCCTTCTCTCTCTACTTCCTGGGTACCATGAGGTGATTAGTTTTCCTCCACCAGGCCCTTCTGCCATATGCTTTCCAGCCTTGGAATCAGCAGAAACTTTTAGAAAACATGAGCCAAGATAAACCTATCTGCATTTATGTTGCAGGTGTTGGGTATTTTGTCTCAGCCAGGAGGACAGTGACTAAGATAATGAGGATACATAGTATTACAAAATCTAAAAATCACATTTAAATAAAATATTATATAGGATTTTTAAAAATTGCTTTCAAAGTCATTCACAGTGGTATGTGCTTATAATTCTACCTACTTGGGAGGCTGAGGAAAGAGGATCACCTGAGCCTAGTAGTTCAAGGCCAGCCTGGGCAACATAACAAGGCCACATATTCTTGAAAAATCAATTTCAAATTTTACAATGATTTTTATCTTTCCCTCTCTAGTTTAACTTCAGTTATACAGAAGACATTCTGTAAGGCTAATGACACTTATTTAGGGTGGCATTTGTGTTACTGCTGTAAAGAAATACCTGAGATAATAAACTTAAAAGAGTTTTGGAGGTCCCAGTCCATGGCTGGCTGCCCTGTTGATCTGGACTTGTCTTTGTCTCTTAATTGATTATTTAGTCCACTTATATTCAATGAAAATATATCCAGGTGGGTGTGGTGGGGCAAACCTATCACATCAGCACTCTGGGTGGCTGAGGCAGGAAGACCTCAAGTTCAAACCCAACCTGGGCAATTTAGCATCTTCATGAGACCCTACCTTAAAATTGAAACAATAAAACGATTATGGCTTATATCTAGATGTCCCCCCAAAGTCCTTTATGGGAGTTGCTGGCTCATGGGTATGTGATACTGAGATCATGGGTGTGTGACACAGGATTAACCCACTGATTGATATAGCATAGTTCTGGGTGTGGCTGAATGGATTTGCTGAAGAGGGAAGACCCACACTGGGTATAGATGCCACCAACCAATAGGCTGGTTGCCTGGATGGAATAAAAGGGAAAGAAAAAGGAAGGGTCACTACTTCCTGCTTCTGGCCTGCCATACCATGGACAGTTTCTCCTCTGCATCCCCCCTTGCTTTGGAGTCAGTCAACTATGGACCAAAACCTCTACAAACTGTGAGCTAAAATAAACCTTTCTGCCTTTGACTTGTGGGTGTTGGGTACTGTGACTCAGTGGCAAGGAAAGTAACCAAGACAGGGACATAGCTAAGTGTGAGGGTCCTGAGTTCAATTTCCACTACTGAAAAAAAAAAAGGCAACATCACAAAAGGCTGAAGGGAATATTTGAAGGAGTAAATGGAGTTCAATCCTCTTACATCACTCAGCAAGTGTTCAAATCCACTCAGCATGGTAGCATGTACCTGTAATCTCAGCACTTGGGAGTTTAAGGCACGAGGACTACCACCATGAGTTCAGGTCAACCTGGCCTATATGAGTTCAAAGTTAGCCTGGACTACATAGTGACATTCTGTCAAAAAAAAAAAAGAAAGAAAGAAAAGGAGAAATGTAAAAATCCTGATTTAAGATTAATCACAACAGATTAGAGATGAATATTGAAACTTCTAGGGTAACAGAAAAAGAGGACAAGAACACAACTCAAAATCTAATAGAGGGAAATGGAAGTAGAATAATACTTGATTAATACAAAAAAAGCAAGAAATAATAGGGTAATATAGAAAACGAATAGCAAAATGGTTAGATTAAAACCAACCCTATCAGAAACACTTAGAGGACTTCTAGGAAAGTGATGGAGTGGTAAATAGCAGTAAATCAGCCTCTCCAAGATTCAGAATCCAGAAACTGGAATACAACAACTTTGGGAACAAAAGAAGGAGGTAAGTGGATGCCCATGCCCCAGGAAAGATCTGAAGGGAGAACTGGAGCACACTGAGAAAGTGAAGAGACAGACTTAGTTACTTTTCTCATTACTGAGACAAATATCCAACACCAAAAGTAAAGGAGGAAAAGTTTATTTAGCTCACAGTTTGAAGAGGTTTCGGTTCATAGTTGGCTGGCTCCAAAGCAGGATAGCATGGCAGAGGGGCAACTCAAAGGAGAAACGGTTTTTGCCAAAGCAGGGCAGGCAGAAGGCAACAAGCAGCCAGTGACAGGACATAAGTGATAGATTCTTTCTGTCCCTTTATATTGTTTCATACACAGAGTGGGGCACCCAGGGTAGGATACCCTTAATCCTATCCAGAATTATGCCAAACCATTCAGTGGACTACTTTAATAATCACACACTCTTAATCCCAGCAACACACACACTCTAGATCCAGCCACTTCTGAAAAAGAAAGCCCATCTATGACTGCATGAGGCTTTGGGGGGACATCTAGACATAAGCCATCACAGACTCCAGTGCAGAAAAAGGAGGTAGCAAAGTTCACTTTCTCCCTGTCTCCTGGCTCACAGTGTGAGAGAGGAGGCTCAAATCTACAGAGACACAATGAGGGAGGGTGACTTCAGAGGCCTCTACAGAGAAATGCACCAGTGGAAAAGAGCAGTGAATGCTGTGCACTACAACAGCTGGTAGGTGACTCCAATCCAAGTGTCTGCTATGTCCCCTGGAGAGGGAGCTTGGCCAGATGCCATGTTAGGGAGGGGCCAACTGAGGCAGGACTCAGAGCAGCTGTGGGTTGGCTTCATCTCAGGGTTCCCAGTGACTGGGTGAGAGACAACTGCTGGAGACATCCAGAGTCAGCCCAGAAAGAGATACCCAGAGTATTGTAGGCTGAATAACTCAGGCCCCAACCCCACAACCAGAGACCAGGATTAACCTGATCTGTGGAGCTGAAAGTGCCAGAATCAGCACTCAGCACTAATCCTACCACAGGCTTGCTGGGATCA